CGCCTCATCTCAAGATCCTTAACTTAATTACGTTTGCAAAGACCCTTTTTCCAAATAAGGTCACATTCATAGGGTCTGGGAATTAGTCCATGGACATATCTTTTTGGGACCACCATTCAATGCACTACAGGGATCACATCAGAATCTTGGGGAGAACATAGATAATGAAACGATCTTCAATTTTTAGCAGCAGAACTCCCCTGCTTCACTGACCACGAGTCTTTGTATCTGTTGAAAGCTTTAATAAGTCTAAGGTGAGTAGTTCTGATTAACTGCAAGACTTTTATTTTTGCTGGGGAAAGGGTTTGGGAGCCAGAGCTAAATTGACCAAGACATTAGAAGGGACTGGAAAAGCCACATGGGGAAAGATGAAGAGACAGGCAGGGAGCCAGGGGACAGCTGCAGGGAATTTAGGTTATGAAATGGAGTCAGTCCTTCAACAAATATTTACCTCAAGAAGCCTACGCATGCCAAGCTTTGCACAAGGTACTGGGGGTGTGACGGTGAACAGAGACACACAGTCCTGCTTTCAAGAAGTGTGGGGAGTCAGTTTGCTTAGATGTTCAGTGCCAACCCTCTCCCCGCAAAAGAGCAAAATCTACACTGCTTGCTGACGCTCTGTAGATGAGCTTGAGGGAGGAGATGGCAGGAGATACTGTCTGGTCCCTGGTTGGAATGAGGCAAAGCCAGAGGCCCCTCCAGCAGGTCCCACATGCTGTGCACATGCTCCAGGGGGCCAGCCGGGCCTTCCCAGGCATCCACATCTCCTTCCCTCTTCTTAGGAAGTGACAGCACTTTGATTTGCTTTTGGAAAATTACCTCTTCCCTGTTACAGGGAGTCTTAATTGGGCTGCCAGTCAAATGTTTTTCCCTGAATTCCTGGCAACAGGAGAGGCACAAGGTCCAAGCTAGGCCAATGAGACTCAGAAGTTCAATCATGAAGGGAGAGATGCTAGCACAGAAGAAATAGTGGCACTGATTCAGCTCCACAGACGTGCGAAGATCAGTTCCTGCCCCTGATACCCTCTCCATATCCGGTTTCTCAGCAGACCCTTGGCATCTGTGAGATAGTCTATACCCTTCCAATAAATTCTTTTGCTTAAGTTAACCAGAGTCCTTTTTGGGTAACTGAAATCAAAGAACACTAACTGCTGGAAAGGATCATGAAAAGTCCCAGTCCCTCCTCCCCAGCAAGAGGGCACCTCCCGGGGACGTGGGCCTGGCTGTGGGGACAGATGCATCTGACCTCCTAAGTGCCAGGCTTACTGCTTCTACATCAGGACAGTTTCAATCAAAATCCAAAGCCCCCTTAAGCTAACAGCGACTGCCCTTAATTAACAAGGACACTCAGGGAATCAGCGCCAGCTCTCAGGGAAAGGCCTGTCCACTGACAGAGGAGAGAGGGGGGTCGAGTTCATCTGGGTCAGGTTAAGGCTTCAAACAACAAATCGTGCCTTGTGAACATTTCCGAAGTGGTCCTTAAGTTTTGTGCCTAAATGCAATTCCTCACTCCCCGTGGGTCTCTCTGGCCCCGATGCCACAGCAGGGGTCTCTCCTTTTCCCTAAACGCAGATGCATTTGCACAGGCCACGGGGATTCCTTGAGGGACAGAAAGCTAAATTTATACCTTCAATTAATCTTCCCAAGTCTTCTTGCCTGCCTTCAATCTACACTGAGCCTCCTTTTGCCTGAATCACCCCAAATGCACATACCCATTAGCAGACAATCAGACAATTATAAATAGAAGATATTAGCTGCCTTTAAAAAAAAAAGAATCTCAATTTTCAATCCTTTCTCCCTAATATCTCCAACCTCCTCTAATACTCTTTCAGAGGGCTGATTCCCCTATGTGAACCACCCCCACCCCCCAAAAAAAGAATCTTTTAAGGCTCCTAAGAGACCAGGCCATTAGCTCTCTCCCTAAATAGGCAAAATCCCTCCCCAATGTAGTATTCAGTCCAAATTTCAGTTCAGTGCCTCCAACACACGAGCACCTGTATGTGGCAGGCACTGTGCTATGTACTGGGAATACGGCCTTGAACAAGAATGCAGTCACAGTCCCCAGGATGCTAGGAGACAGATGCTCAGCAAGCGATTATAGGTGGATGAGTCTCTTCAGAGATCAGGGTACCAGCAGACCATATAGGGAGACCTTCTACCTCACCTACAAATCAAGATAGGCCTCTCCTTGACGAAATGATGCTGATGCTGGGGGACCTGAAGCAAGGTGACAGAGCAGGCTACTGGAATCAAGAGAACTGTTTCTCTTTCACTGGGGCCTTCTGCAAAGCTGTCCCCAATTCAGGAAGAGATGATGTTCTAAAAGTTTGCATTCAAGTTCATAGGTTTAGAGCTCATAATTTATTTTTCCACAGAAATACACTTACAAATGTGGCTAGGTTTCCAGGCTGGTCCACCAGCATCCAATTACCTCGTCATGTGCTGCACCACATACAACATTTAACCAGGCTTTTTCTATGGGAAACTTACGTCAAGTCGTGATGTCCAGTGGAAACCATACTCAGAAGCCCTCCTCTCCCTCACTAAACCCCAGCAGTTTCCTCCAGGAGGTCTCTCCAATCCAGCCCCCAGGCCCCAGTCCCACTGCCTTGGGTCAGGCCAACCTCATACCTACCCATAACCTGGTACTAGCACCACAGCAACCAACTCAAAACCCAGTTACCTGCTAAATAAAGAAGTTGTGCTATAGTTATACAATGGAATACTACTCAGCCATAAAAAGAATAAAATAATGCCATTTGCAGCAACATGGATAGACCTGGAAATCATCATTCTAAGTAAGCCAGAAAGGGAAACACCAGATGATATCACTCATACATGGAATCTAAAAAAAGAAAAAAGACATGAATGAATTTATCCACAAAACAGAAATAGACTCACACGGTAAACAAACTTATGGTTCCTGGGGGTAAAGGGAGTGGGAAGGGATAAATTGGGAGTTCGAGATTTGCAAATACTAACTACTACATATAAAATAGATAAACAACAAGTTTCTCCTGTATAGCACAGGGAACTACATTCAATATCTTGTAGTAACCTATAATGAAAGAGTATGAAAACAAAATGTGTATGTACATGTATGACTGAAACATTACGTTGTACACTAGAAATTGACACATTTTTAGACTGACTATATATACTTCAATTAAAAAAGCAAAAAACCCAGTCATCTTATCTTCAGTTGCTCCTCTCTCCAGCCCTCTCCCCAACTCCCGAAGCTTTAGCCAGTTGCTTTTTAAGGAACAAATGTGAAAATCTTTTAACGGTTTCCATTGTCCATTTGTTCTCCATCTTAGTCTGGAATTTCCCATCAATCTTTTAAGACCTAACCCTCTGCCCAGTACAATTTTTTACTTACTTCTATTCTAGTAGCTTTTCAAGTTGATTACAATTTGTGTCCACCTATTCAACAAATATGTGAGTACCCACCATGTGCCAGGCTGTCTGCCTCAGTGGAGAGAACACACTGTGAAGACAGAAATCTGGTCCTACTTGCATCTGCCCTGTCACTACTCAATAGACATTACATTATTTTATCTTTTTTTTTTCTTCTTAGGCTACAAAGCAATTAGGGTTAGACTAGGGATGATAGCTAATTTATATCTTCAACTAATGTTCTTAAATGTTTTGGCCTGCCCTCAGCCTGGCAAGAAAAAAAATCTTTTTTTGCCACTTAATGCTAGATTCTGAACATTGGCTCTCCCAATTGCAAAGCAGCAGCAAGGTCTTAACTTAGAGTTGAGTTCATATCTTATCTTTGGTACCTTCCACCTGCTTGAAGTGACCTCATTTTCCTGAAGCTTCCTTACTTGGGAAACGGATAATACTTCACAAGTGGGCTTCAACGCTGATTCCCAAACCCAGCTGAATAGCAGAATCACTGGGAGCTTTAAAAAGATGCAGAATGAGGATAAAGCAAGAAACACATTTTTCAAAAGTTCTAAGTGATTCTCATTTATAGTCAGACTGGAAACCAGAGATTGGAGACGTAAATTATTTGTGAGGCACCTGTCACATGAACGCTCAACACCCAGTTGTGCTGTAGAAAATGGGGTTCTACCCTAAGGAACAGAGGTGAGAAGACGAGGAGAGCGTATGGCAAAGCATTCTGTGCGTAAACCATCCACGGAAGGGCTTACGTGACATGATGCTCCCCGCCCAATCTGCATCACCAGAGCAGCTCTGGACCACACACAAAACTGCCAGGAGGCGCATGTTCTCTCACCCCAGCTTTTCAAGACACTAACAGGAGTAAATTTTTCCAAAGGTTAAGCTTCAAACCTAAATAGTTTGAACCTAAAGGTTTGAATCTAATAGGACCTCAGAAAGAGTTGGCCGCAAATGAAGCAGCTGGCAGCTGCCACATCACTTCTTACATCAGCGTTACTCAAAAGGTAGCTTAGAACACAAGGCTATTGGCAACGTGCTGTCCTCCCAAAGCAGCAGGGTTGGTTCTACTTTTTCGGGATTTCCCTCAGTACCAGAGGAGGGGTGCACGGCCCTGCTCCTTCACATCGCCCGTCTTGTGGTGAAGGATGAGGACCCGCCTCAGGCCTGGGGTAGACTTGGATGGTGGAGGAATGTCATGGCATCTGCCTTCCATGGTCGGTGGGTTCTTACACAGAAAGGGGATGATTTCCTCCTAATTCTGGAGGGCGCCAGGACTCAGAGGGATGGATGGAGGCCACGGAAATGCTATAAAGCACATTACAGTCAGATATAACCCTTAACCCAATGTGCTGAAGCATCTTGCTTCACTGTAATGAAAACCCAGAAATTCCGCTTCCACAAATGAATCCTACAGATATTTTCCAACACGTGAACAGAAGTAGGTACAAAAATGTTCGCTGCTGTCTCACTCTAATAGTAACACACACTGGACACTCCCTCAGTGCCCAAGAGACAACTGGCTACAGAAATGACATCATAGCTAAAAGAGGCAGCGGAGTAGGGATACGGACACTTAAGACAGACAACCATCAAGTTGTACATTTTAATTTACAATTTTTACCAATAAAAAGGATTAATTACAAAAAGGGGATTTCTCTATACAAAATAAGGAATTTTTTTTTGCATTCATAGAGAGAACTTGCTGTCACGTCTCGCCTTGCCAACTCAAATCTCAAATAGCTTGCTTAGCTAAAATTATTCCCAAAAGGTAGGTAATCCAGACAAAATTAATAAAATTATCAGCTTCCTAAACGTGTTTAAGAATTTAATGAACATCAAGCCTGGAACTGAAGCATTCTACAGAACACTTGTAACCTTTAGAAAGACGACTGCTCTCAGGCAGTTGAGTTGCTAAGAGGGCGTCTAAGAGCGCCGAGCTCACTTACCATGAGAATCTTCTTACAGACACGCGCCCCATCTCCGGCACGGTGCCTGCAACTGTGACGTAACAGGAAGAAGGGCTTCTAAAATTTTACAAGTGCATTTTATTGGGGCCACAGGTCAACAGCAGAACATGTGACAGTGAGCGTTCAGATTCTCCACACCTCCTATTTTATCATATAAATTAAACATGAGCAAGTACACACACACACACGCACTTCAGATGTGAGGAGCTCTTTTCAAATCCCTACTTCCTAGTATCACACACACCCCTGCTTCGGCGTGGGGCAGAGTCACACTGTTAGCGCACAGTGCTTCCTGCACAGAACTCCTGGTCAAAATGTTCAAAGCCTTTTCTAGCTGACTAGCATGGTGGCCACTCAACGCTGCTCCTAGCAGTCTGCTGTCAGAATATAAACATAGAATCAGAAACCGTGGGAAACATCACAGCCTTCAAAAAACTATTTGGTGACAAGCCTAGCTCTGATGGAAGAAGTCCACCTATGAAAAAAAGAGTTGCGCGTACTGAGGCTGGTCTGATGTACCTTGATGACTCAAAATAAAAAAGACCCTCAAACACAAGATGCTTCTAAAGCCATTGCAACCTCAAATTCACTTAGATGTGCTTATAATAGCTCCTAAAATTAAATCTACATACAGAGGAGCTGCACCTTCCCCACAACTAACTCAAGCACATAGACACTGCTGGGGGCACTCGGTTTGCAATAAAATGACAACTTAAATAGGGTTTAAGGTTCTCCCCTCCACTCCACGTAGTAAACATATATCCAGAATGAGCATGAAGTAGAATCAACGCCCAGGTGCCTCTCAAAGAGAGCTTCTCCCTGGGGCCAGTGTGATTTGGAACTTACTAGCACAATACAAATCCACTACTCTGGGTACACACAGAGCCAGTATGCCCGACACGAGACACTAAGGGATCAGACCCACCATGGTTTAAGCCCAGCCCCTGTGTAAGATGCAGCTCCACTACAGTTTTGATCACTAAGACAAAAACACGCCCAGCAACAATCCTCAGGCTTCATTATATCAATCTGGTCCTCACTGCCTCAGCAGTGGTTTTTTTTTTTTTTCCTATCTAAACAGCTGAAGAGGTGGCAAATGGTCGCAAGTGCTATCAGGTCATAGCAACTCCAAAAGCTGAGAAGGCTCTTCCTCTGTGCTCCGCCTTCTCCCCTATGGTTACCGTTCTGCCGCTGGAAGATGGTGTGAGCAAGTTCTTCGTGGCCAAGCCTTGGCAAAAGTCAATAAATAAAAAGAGCTTGTCAAAGGCAGAATCGTTTTATGGGCAATCCCTCTGGCTGAGAATGTGGGGGTGGGGAAAAGTAGGAGGGAGGTGTGTGCGCAAGAAAGAGGTCAGAGTCCCTTTGACAAGGGTTTGGTGACCCAACCCCAGACGCCCAGCTTGGTGCCAGCAGAGCGGCACCTGCCGAAGCCCATTACTCAGCTGGAAAAGGAAGAGAAGACACCAGAGAAGACGGTCAGTTCTGCAATTTGCACAGTTGATATTTGTTCTTCTTAGCATTAAGGACTTGAATGAGAATCATGAAACTTGAGGAACACTTAAATTTTTTTTCTTCAGGTTTTAAAAAAATTGTTGTCTTGTACTGAAAGACTACATTCAGTGTGGGTCAGGTCCAACAGCGTTAGCTGAACTCGGTGATAGGGTTACCCAGCACTGGGAGGAAACTTCATCTGAGTGGAGAGGCTGGTGGGCAGGCCAGAGGCCACTCCTTCACTGGTCCCCAAGTCGAAAGCCCTGTCCCCAGTTGTGTCTCCCGCCTCCGCCGTTCTGATCGGCGGCTCGCCTCATGCTAGCAGGGGGCACGCCGAACCCTGACACCCCTCCTCTCCTGCTGGGCAGCCAGCGGTACCTGGAGCAGAGACGGGAAGGAACAAAGGGAGAGAAGACCACAGAGTCACTTCCACACAGTTCTCCATCCCTTCTCCCTTTCCTGGTGCTAACCCGGCATGTCACCTCCCGATTACATTAGTCCGTGGCCATGGAAAGGCTGAGGACGATGTCTTATTTAACTCTGCCTTTTTTTTTTCTTTCTAATAATTTTGCACTGCAATGTATTTATTTTTAAGGGCGGTACTGGGGATTGAGCCCAGGACCGCATGTGTGCTAAGCATGCACTCCACCACTGAGTTCTACCCCTCCCTCCCCTAATTCTGCCTTTCCAGCACTTAGCTCAGTGCTTGACCACAGAGGGGACTCACTTTTTATGTTTTTTTCCATTTATTAAGCTTTCAAGCTAACTTCACACTCTATTTTTTTTTATTATAAAAGCAATTCAAGCAGAACAGTTTGGAAAGAAAAATATTACACCCACAAGCCCAACAACAACAACAAAAAACATCTATATAGCATTTTGGTTTATGTAAATATGGACTGAATTGGCTTAAAGGATGCAAAATAAATTCAGTTCCAAAGGACAAATACACAGCCAGAGTGTTTGAGCACCGCCCTCCGCGATGCAACTGGGTTCTTCATCGCCCATCAAGGGACACTAGAAATGGTGACTTTATGTCTTGGAGTTTGGGCATGTTTTAAAGCTTATTCATAGTCTGCCCTCCAACTGCATTCTTTCCATCTCATAGACGGTGGGAAAGCTGAGGCCCCAAAAGGTGAGCTGACTTCTCATCTGACAAATGAATAAATTAAGAGTCACAGAACAGAGGGGAGGGTATATAGGTCAGTGGTACAGTGTGAGCCTAGCATGCACAAGGTCCTTCCTGGGTTCCGTCCCTAGTACTTCCACTACAAATAAATTAAAAAAAAACTAATTACCTCCCCTCCCCGAAAAAAACAAAAAAAATGATTAAAAAAAAAGTCACAGAACAGCTAAGAATACCTAAACCCAGATCTCGAAGTTCTCAAGAGTTTTTCCAACTATTTCCCTTCCCTGACTATCAGTAAATTGAGAATGTATTTTAACCTATTCTATTTATCAGATCCTGATGTTTAAGATTTTGCTTGAATGCAGAGATCACAATCTGATATCCCTGTTTAAACCCCTCATACTAAGAGCAAACCACGAGGGGTGACTTGCCTACAGCAAAAAGCCTGCAGAGCTCAACTGTATCACAAAGGGTTTCCCTTACACCAAGCGCTGCATGTTTACAAATGCGTCTCATCTGCACAACAGCCCGATGAGGGAGGCACGACCATTACCCCATTTTATAAACAGGAAAACTGAGGCAAAATTGAGTCAAGCTCCTCTAAAGAGACAGGCAGGATTCAAACCCAAGCAGCCGGGCTCTGGGGCCTGTACCCTGCACCACTTCCTGCACCTCATACTTCCGCAGGGACACAAAGAGCAAGACTCAGGTGACAGCAGTCAGTGACTGGAGTCCTCGTGTGTCTACGTCACCCCTGTGAGCTGCACACTCCCTCCCCAAAAAGACAATAAACCCCTTTTAAACAGAAAGATCGCTGAGCACAGAAGAGAAGAGGATTTGTCTACTCTTCTAAACAGAATGCAGAATAGTGATAGAGCTTACAATTCTGTAACTCACATCTTCCCTTTCAAACAAATACAGTTTTATCATTAAACCAACATGTATTTCCAAGTGCTGATTTCTCAACACTCATGACGTTCTGGCACAATAACATTCCTCCGAAGTATATAATAAATCAGAAGACTTAAAAAAGGCAACGCCAGGGCTGTCACGCTTTGCTTCTGACTATGAGACAATATGGAAGCCATCTCCACGGCTTAAACAGATAGTGAAATTAAATGCAAGTAATTAGTATAAAAAGATACCCAATTATACATAATCAACAAAGATTTATGGTAATTTCAGAGCAGTTACTGTTTTTGCAAGGAGCTACACTTTGTCATCTGATCTCTATGCAAAATTTCACAGAAAGGCTTCTACCAACAGAGAAAGCTTAAGTGGAAGGCGGGCTCCAGTGTGCAGTGGACTTTGCACTAGAATCTCACGCACTTTGTTGCCCACAATTGAGAAATCTCTCCAAGCCATTAAAGTCAGAATATGGCCATTTAAGGTAAAATGACTGTTGGCTGCCCCCCGAAGCAACAAGTATTTTTTTTAATTGATGCATCTGCCATTCAACTTGATAAACCTAGATCAAAAATCCAAACCTGCTGTTACTGTGTCCTCTGATAATTAGAAAGCAGATTGGTCATTTGTTTTTTTCTAGCCTGAAGGCAATTCAAGGCTCAGAAGAGAAACAAGTTTCTTTTTATGCTCTTAATGGGAAAAAAAAATGCTGTACTTCTGTTTGTACATTTCATAATAAAAGTCTTTCCAAAACCTTCCTCTAACCTATAAAAGTGGGGTGTAGGGGGAGAGGGGTGCCTACTCAGGTTGTACTTCCCTCACTGACCCCTTGGAAGAATGATAAATTGCAAACCATTAAAATCGAGCAAGATGTGAAAATTGTTTTTTTGCTTTTTTTTTTAAAGCTTTGAAACGCAAGCCATTATTGCATATGCTCCACTGGAGATTAGGCGTGATTGTCAGCCCGGCTGTGACACCCAGATGGTGATTTTACTGGTCCTCCTTCAACAGCCTTTTGCTTCTCTGACAGAATGGTCACATACTTACATGCTTCAGTGTGTCAGCATCTCTTCAGGCTCGGCAACCCCCCCCACACACACACACTGCAGGAGCAAGGCCAAGAGCTTGTCTCTGCTGAGAGCCCAACACTGTGGTGCCGGCCTAGCCCCGCAGGCCAGTGAGTGAGACAGGGCCTCCTCCACATCACAGACCCGCAGACTGAAGCCTGGACGTTTTATCAGGTCACTTTCCCAATATCAAAACTGGTAAATGCGGAGAATGGGGTTCCAAGTCAAGTCAGCCTCAAAACGAGCCTCAAAACCTAAGCTGTGCCCTCGGCCCCCTCACTGTAATAAATCCACCAAGCACACCCTCCCGGGGGCAGGACTGTACAAACCCCAGTCTCCCACGTTAACACTGAGAAGCCCTTTAACTATTCTAGCCTATGATACTGAATATAAAAAAGTTTAAATTGCTAACCAATGAGCCTGCCTACCCTCTTATCCCCTTCCTCTGCCAAAATCTTGGGAAAACTGATAATTCGGTTACCCTGGCCCCAGCTGCACACACAGGGGCTGCACACAGGTGCCCCGCCCACTGAATCCAGGCTCAGGGGCCCCCAACTATGAGGGCCGCAGGGGACCTGGCTTCCTGTGACTGCAACCAGGGCAAGCCACTTGTTAAGTCACATTTCTCCATCAGACTGAGAGGGAAATCCCACCCCTCCAGGAGTTTTCATCAGGATGCAGAGTGACACGGGCAGTAAAATGATTATCAAATGAAATGGGGAAGAAACACTTACAAAAACTGAGGTGTGGACAGAAAATTCCTTCCTCCCAAGTCCATCGGGTATCTGAACATGAGGAAGAAATAAAGATGTCCAACAAGATTTCCAATTAGCTCATTGATGACCCTGCAAAAACAGAGAGCCAAATGAGTCTAAAAACATTCAAGCAGCAAAGTGAGACGCAGTGAGTTTTCACTACCAGCACAGGGAAGAAGCCGTGGTGGCAGCCTGTTTCTGGTCCCTGGGCGTCTGTGACAGCTCGACAATGAGCCCCTGTATCGTCTGAGTGGCAAATGCATTCTGAGTGAGAAGGAAAATCGGTCCTGCTGGACCAGCGGGGTCTGTGCTCTTCAAGGTCAGCTGCTCCGCTGACATCTCTTTCAAGCCCCCGCCCATCCTCAAAATACTGTTTCTGCTACTTCCTGTCTCAAGAGCTAGGGGAAGTCGCCAAGCAAGCTTCTGAATGCTTTCAGTCATGAATACCATAACACGCGGCAAACTGGAAAGCAAGCAAGACAGAAGTACGGGAGCAAGGAAAGCAGGGACGCTACATGTCTGCCCCCCGTTCCTGGAGCCCTGATCACTTCTTCGTCTCGTGTGCCGACTGTAAGACAGCCCCGCGATCACTTCGGAAAGCTGACCCTCACCCTGCAGTCCTAAAGGAAGCCCTGCCCTTCTTCAGTCTTCCCACGGCTGACATACAGGCCACCTGGAGGTTTTACAGACCCACTCTTACTGCGACCCTAAACTTCTCCGTCTTTGCCTGCAGCCCGATTCCTGTTAGGACAATCCAACATCTCCTGTGACTCCCGCACTCGGCCCTTCTGGGCGGTGGGCAGTTGCACTAAGCCCAGAAGCTGCTCTGCTCTAAGCAGAGTCTGTCCGCTCAAGTAAGCTCCTTCCTCTACAGACGTGCAGGAGAAGTCAGGGCCACATAGAGCAAAGATGTCACAGGCATAGTAAGAACTAGGACTATTAAAATCTATTTAAAAACATTAAAAGTATTTTGCAGTGTAAGAAACAAGGAGTTCTGAGAACAGCTGCATCTTGAAAATCCTCCTTCTTGAACAGAGGCACTCAAGGTTTTCCAGAGTCTCGAGTCTAATTCCAGACTAGATATTTGATCCCATTTGGCCAAAACTTCTGTACTATCGAACCACTGACAAAACTACTTCCCAGCTGAGAATGTGTGCATTTCTGTGACTGGTGAGCAGTTTCCAAGGCATTCTAAAAAAGCCTTTAAGAATAAAATCGTAATTTTATGCACAGAGCAGTCGACTCAGACACAAATTAGGTTTCCTTGCTCAATCCGGATGGTGAATCCAGAAATCAGTATTTATTCAAAAACACTTATATGGAAGCATACTATAACAGTAAACTAACAACAACATTCAGTGCTAATGCGCTTAAAGCCTTGCAATTTTAATCAATTACATCAAAATGAAATTAATTCAAAAGTCTAAGGCTCCAAACATCAACACTGAGATTCCTCCACATTTTATAAAGATTAGATGAAGGAAGATGAAGAATAATAGATGTCTTCCAAGGATTAGTTTGCAATTAAATAAATCTAATATGACTTACGAGCCTCCGATGATATAGTTGAATCCAAGAATAACCCAAGGTAAATAACAGGCCTAGAAAAGAATGTACACACACACGTGAAAAGCTACGCCTAAAGAGGACACAGCTGCTGGGGGCTAGGATGGGTAAAGACATACTGACAAGGGCTTTTATAAATCCTTCGGGAAGTCACTGCAAAAATTCCTTAGATCAATCTAGCGTCATTCCTGTTGCACTTGAAACTTCCCACCTAAAATTGTACTTATCCCTATATTAGTAACTGGAGACAAGAGGACCTTGCCCATAGGTTTCAGATGCAATACATGCCCTGCTGAATTAATATTAACAGCTTTAGAAAGTCAATGAGCATCCTATGAACACTAATAAAAACAGTCCATAATAGATTTACTAAGACTCCAGCCAGCAAATTGCTACCAATAAACTACAAAATGCCCCTTTTTGTTAGGTTCTCCTTTTACATATCTCACAAAATTACTGTGAATTTTGATCACATTACACATCGATATCTTGAACTAATACTCCCCAAATAAGACAGCTCTCCAGATGAATTCAACATTTGAGCCCCTGTGAAAAATTAATCAACAGGGACCTCACTTAAGGAGCACTAGGAGACCAGAAGGGGGAGCTCGTACGCCCCGTTCCAACCGCAGAGCCTGACAGGAAGACAAACTTCTTTCCTTGCAAGGACTGAGCCAATGAAAAGCTTTGTTTACCATCGCCTTCCTAACTTCCTTTTCCTTTCTCTAGAAAAGCGCTCTCCTTCCCTGGGTATGTGGGGACCTACATGTGGCTCGCCAGGGTTGCAGACCCCAAAATGTAATACTCCACAGATCCCAAATAAACCTGTCTTTGCTGGAGAAATATCTGGCAGCCTATTTAGTTCAGGTCAACCCCCCCTTATCAGATTCAAGATACCATACTAAGAACTAAGGGAGTTGCAAAAACATCACAAACCAGTAAAGAAAGCGTTATATGTCAGTAACTTGAAGGCAGAACATGGTAAGTACTATAAAGAGGAATACAAAGTATTGCAGAAGCCCAAAGGCTGGACTCATTCCAGGCAGGAGAGGCAGGAACTACGTTCAGTTCCAACTCAAATTAAGAACGAGTAGAATTTACGTAAGGAAGAAAATCAAAAGATGCTACAGGTGGGAAACTGTGAGAGAAGGCACAAAGGGAAGTGTATGGGGGCAAAAAACAACCTGCTGTTTGCTAAAGTGTAAAATACACAACAGGGAGAGATAAGAACAGATTTGAAAAGAGAGGGTTCTACATGAGTATACTTCCCTCCCTCCCTCTACCACACACACATACATGAGATCACTCAGGGACACAGGCCTGAGGGGCCTGAGGTCCAGAGGGGGTGAGAAGTAATGGTCGGCAAAGGATTCTGGGTTGACTAAAGAAAGACAGGGTGACAGAGGACAGATAAGGGGCTGGCCTATGGTATACTGCTCTGCAGTGACCTCTTCTGGACATGTCAGAAAGTACATCTCTGGGCTGAAGGGAGGGACTCGTGCAGACAAATGAAAAGGAAATTTTTCCAACTAGGTTAAAGTACCTTAAATCGTGTTCCAAACCAAAATGATACAATCATGTCTCTGTTCAGCTGGGCCCAGACATAAAGTACTGACATGATCAAAGGGATCATCAGCAACTGCAAAAGAAGTCAACACGTAAAGACGAGGCTCAAGAGGCATTTGAAACAGAGGCTTAGCGTGAATTTACTTTTTTTTTTTAACCTCTCCCCTCCAAATAAATTCTCACATAGTTACTCAAAAAGCAGAAAAAATTTCAACTCATCAGAATTAAAAATTGGTCCTTTTACTTAATTAATTCTGCCATGCACACTTTAAAATCCTCTAATAAAAGACAACACAGTATTTTAGAGTGGATTCAGAAATACCAGGGTATTCTCCATTACTTAAAAAAGAGCAGGCAATAAAACTCAATGTATGCTCTCGATTTTAAAAAATCCACATATGCATAGAAAATACTGGATAACCATCATTCGCAACATTCAAACATAATAAAGAAGCCAGAAATGTGCAAGAAAAGTAACGATTCACATAACTCACACAAGATCTTCAAAATGCCGTATGAACTAACCACATAGTTACTGCAATTTTAACATCTGTCAAAGGCCATTAATAGTCAATATGAAACATATAAAAGGGCAAATGGTTTCAAGGGACACTTACCTGCATATCCATCGCTAAGCCAGTTATCTTGGTTTGTAAAGTTAAAGATCAGATACGAATAAAGCATTCTGCCCCTAGTAAAAGTTTGTTTCATTCCAGTTTTTTGAAGGAAAACATTTTGCTACAGTTCAGGTTGCTTAAAACATCCCAGAACACAAAGGTGTCTAATATTCTTCATTATGAAGATGCCAGGAGACTACATGATGACAAGGAAACGGTAGGAATTAACTGCTTTGGCATATGACCCATCTGGTCGCCCGTGCCCTCGGAACCTTGCCACTGCATCTGAGCATTTCTCTTTCAATGACAAGATGGAGGAGGTGCCTGTGCCCTCTGAAACAAATAATGCTTCTCCTCACATTCAGGGGTCCACAGTATGGGTGAAGTCCAAAACAATTTATTTTCTTTCCTAAAGGAGGGGAAAGGGCATTCAAACTGTCACATTTTTCTGGCTCTCGGCCAAGTTTGAATGGAAGCTAAGTCCCAAACAATTTTGAGCTCACCCACTGTGCACAGGGCGTGAGCCACCAAGCCCCTTCTGCTGCTCTGCAGAGGTCCACGGCCGGAAGCCTGCTGGCAACTGCCGTCGATGCACAGCAAGCAGAGAGACGTGCTCTGCCCTTCCCCCTGAGCCGGGTACTTCCAGAGGGACTGAATTACGGTTTAGGACCTTGAGACAAAGGCAGCAATAAAGTCAGAAAAGGCTGCTGGCTTTAAATTAATTTTCTGATAAGGACCAAGGCTTTCAAAAGCTGTCTCATGGCACGGAATCTCTCTGTGCTGTGCTTAACAAGCTGTCACACACGAGAACACAGAGAACTGGGAACAAGATGAGGAACAGTAATAAAATTCAACCAAATGTGGAAAAACCCCACAAAGGCAATGGGAAGAGAATGCGTTACGCAGGGGCCCTGTGATTTATTACCACTTTTGAAAAGAAGTTTTAACAATTCTTAATTATTAACTACAGTAAACAAAGATGCAAACACTATCATATGAAAATGTTACAGATTACTGTCTATTTCCCCAAACCTGGGGAAAAAAAAAAACAACTGGTTATTTCTGACCCAAAATAACAGACTGAAGGATACCACAATGCAGATCCAGTTAAAGAGGAGCATGAATAAATAGTCTGCCGGCCTCCCATCGAAAGCTCCTAGAAACAAAAATAAGCCAAATGTCACGGTTCAGAATTTCAGAACAAAGGAACTGCTGTGTTGAGAAATACTTCAAAAAATTAGAGAGAAAGCAAAAATAAGAATATTTTAAAACCACTCCTCTGAGGTAAGAGAAAAGGGAAAAATACCTAAAACCATGTCCGCAATAAAGCCCTGAACTAAAGTCACCTGAGTCTCATGGCTAATCTGAATTCCCGTACGTAACATGCTTGACCACCACGAGCTCAGAGACCCCAAAAGGAGGACAGTCAAGTCCACAGCTACTGAGACCCCAACCCCTGGAGCCCCTCACAGCCCGCTGGCCTCTCCTTCACGGCGCTCACCACGAGAGGAGCTGGTGGCTCATCTGGGATTACCTGGGCATCCCTACTCCCTGCACTGGACCATGAACTCTGTCAGGGGACCAGTCACGTCTGTTTTGTCTACCTTTGTGTCTGCTCCACATGGCTCTGCTGGGAGATGCTTACTATTGTTATTATTGGAGACACGCACACACGCGAGCACACACACACACACACACACACACCCATTTGTCTGCCGCTGGACTTATAGAGAAGATTCCATCTCCATCTTCCTGAAGCTCACATTCTCACAAAGGAAAACAGTGATGGAGGGAACAGCCAAATCTTTCCATAGCCTTGACTCCTACTACACCTGTGAGGGACAATGGAAAGACCTACACCCCCTTTTGAAAGATGAGGAAACAAAGCTATAGGACCAAAGTCACACGGCTGCTTACAAGCAGAGGGAAGTCTCATTACTAGTTCAGTGTTCTTGTCGCTACACCATATGCTGGGCTCCGTCTTATTCGAGGGCAGATAATTAGTTATCAGCCCAGCTCTCCCTTCTAAGGATGACCCTCAAGCCTCCAGCAGGAAGGCTAGAAGAGGGGCAGAGAAAAGATACAAATGATGTATGGTCCCTCTGTCTCAGTTACTTTCCCTCCCCTCCAAACCCCAACACAAATACAGGGCGTCTAGTTCATTTTTTAAAAATAATCCTAGTAAGTATCAGAAAGGCAGAAAAAATCTATCTAAAAGAAAACAGGTTTCCAGCAAAAGTCTCTCCTCCTTTCCTCATTCCTCCTCCCCTCTCTCTGCCCCCAGACCCTCAAAGGCACACTTTAGCCACAGTACTAAGGATACTGAATGGAAGGGGATCACTATAATGTATCGGAGCTGAAATTCTAACAAAATATCTGAATTTCAATAATACTTGTGCTTCTTTTGATGTGGCTTTGGCTTTGTGATTTCTAAGGACTCTTTAGATTGAGTCCTTAAAATACTGTAATTACGTAAACTACAGTACTATATTATTTGGCAAGCTTGCAACCGGGAATTTACAAATTAACTGGTCTCAAATTGCAGTCTTCCAGTTCACATCAGAATCCTTATAAATAAGCCAACACTGCTACAGACTTAAAATAGCCAAGTGGGAAAATATGCAGGTGGTGAGTATTTGGTTGAAATGTTATCCTGAAGCTCTATGGTGGAGAGCAGACTGGGGCGTCAGTAAACTGGGCTCCAGTCCTAGCTGGGTTTCTCAAATGGCTTTGTGACCTCTGGGGCATGTCACCACCCCTCCAGACCACTGTTGTCTGTGAAATAAGAGGGTTACATGGAAAGATCTCAAAAGTCCCTCTCTACATGAATGTTCACAGCAGCATTATTCATTCAGCAAAAAAAAGAAAACAGGTCAAACGTCCAACTGATGATCAACAAAATGCGGTAAATCCATACAATGGAATCTTATTTGGCAATAAAAAGGAACGAAGTTGTACTACATACACACCACATGGAAGAACTTTGAAAACAGTGTGCTAAGTGAAAGAAGCCACACACAAAAGACCACATAGTGTATGATTCCATGTATAAGAAATGTCCAGAATAGGGAAATCTAATCTAAAGAGGCAGAACACAGATGGAGGTGGCAGGAGGTTGGGACTGAACAGAACTGGGGAATGGCTGTAGTGATGAAACGTTCTACATTGATTATAGTCATGATTGCACAACTCTGTGAATATCCATTGAACTGTAAACTTTAAATGGGTGGAACTGTATGGAATATAAATTACATATCAATAAAACTGTTTTAAAAATGTCTCTCAGCTCCAGCATTTCAAAATATTCTGTGACTATAAAATAGTAAATAGGGGGCAACTCCTAAGAATTAAAGAAAATGAGAGACAGAATAATCCTACAGATTCACCTTCATTGTTACTCAGGTAAAATAATATTACCCATTAGCTGTAGTGTCTGACTAGGTCGTAGAGATGGGTGAATGGGTTCAAGGAACTTCAGTAACCAGGAGAAGACAATTTTACAAGTAAAAAGTAGTCATGAAATTATTGCGCTTTAGGCAGTAATGTGATTTTTTTTTGTCCTTATATTTCAGAGGTAAATAATGAAGTATCTATGGATGATGAAATGTATCCTATCTGTCATGTGGCTTCAAATAATCAGGAGTAGGGGAGACAGCCATAGACACAGATCAAATAAGACTGGCTATAGGGGGAGGGTAGAGCTCAAGTGGAAGAGTACATGCTTAGTATGTACAAGGTCCTGGGTTCAATCCACGGTACCTCCTCTAAAAATAAATAAATAGATAAATAAACAAAACAAAGTAACTTCCCCCCCCAAAAAAAGACTGGCTATCAAATAGATAACTGTTAAAGGTGAATGATGATTAAAAGGAGTGCAGACTGTCACATGTTATAACACCAATGAACCTTGAAAACATTATGCTAAGTAAAAGAGGCCAGTCACAAAAGGACATATAAAATGTCCCAAACAGGCGAATTCATACACACAGAAAGTAGACGAGTGGTTGCCAGGGACTGGGAGGAGGGGGAGGTGGGATGGAGGCTGTTGCTTTGGGTTTTTGTGGATGATGAAAATGTCTGGAATTAAGACAGCGGTGATGGTTGTATAACACTGTGAATATACTGAAGACCACTGAATTATACAACTTACACTGAATTAACAAGGGTTAAAATGATAAATTTTATGTTAGGTGAGTTTTATCTCAATTAAACAGGAAAAGGAAAAAAGAGGTTCATTAATATTTCTCTCTACTTTTGTATTTGTTTGAAAATTTCCCATAATAAAATGTTTACCTGGTCATGATCTCCCACACGTAATCTAGAGTTTGCTGCTAATACATATAAAAAAAGTTTCTCCAACAACTTAACCCTCAATTCAATCACATCAGAGGGGGAGAATGTTAAGCAAGTCAGCAAAGGAGAATGAAAATCATATACTCTGGTAGATTTGAAGATCCAGCCCCTGACACGGAGGTCAGAGTCCTGGCTATCAGTTTCACCTCAGCCAAGTCACTTGACTTCCTTGAATCTCCTGTTCTTCCTCTAGAAAACAAAGGGCATGGGCTAGGTCCCTTCCAGAAGTAATAGTCTATCAACAAACACTCTGTATTAACACAGTGATCTCTGTTTTTTGAGAAGTATCTTAATAGCAAATGCCAATTTAAGGAAAAATGTAGTTGTGAGATGATTCACAATTCTCAAATGTATGAGCACTGACTTAAGATTTAAGGGTAGTTCAGAATTTTCTATCCTGAGCTACGAGCCATCAAGTTTACAGTCCCTGGAGTCAGCCAACCTTTTCAGAATCATTCAGGCTTAACCAAATTATATCCACATTTTGATACAGCAGTATATCGATTTCTTGCTTCTCAGTATAAGTAATTCAGAAGAGCATATAAGGTACTATAGGAAATAAGTAGCAATTCAATAAGAAAGTTTTAAGGAAAGAATTTTATAGCTTATCCATGACATCAGATAGGTATTCATAGCTGATACACTGCCGTATTCTTAAATCCCAGCTATAAAGTTGACTGTTTCCATTACAGAGACTAAATCTAGGCTTTTAATTGCATAAAGGAGTGGTTCTCAACCCTAATTTAGGAGCTATATACACTTCAGACTAATTGTGCTTTAAAAAACAGTGACTGTTGTGTGTCTGAAATAAGAGAGAGGGAAAATTGAGAGGCACACAGCCCAGCCACACAGGATATGGGCAAGAGTCTCACCAATAAAATGGTGACCCTGCTCCTTAACCTCACAATGATATTAAGAGGATTAAAAGCCGGGTAAGTGCCTAGCAGAGTTCTGGCACAGTTTTTAATTCCTGAGCATTTACATCCTTATGCCATTTATTTATATACACTAACTGCCCTCTAAATTCCTCCAGTAAGTAAATATACAGATTAGTAGATACACAGAAACAATACTTAAAACAACATACCTGTTTCGAGTCGTGTAGAGTACTGATATAAGAAATATAAATTGACCAAATAAAGAAATCCAGTTCCTGGACCCACAGGGAAATAAAAGGTGGCAGTGATTGGCCTCCAGATCTGTCCAGATCAAAATAAACACAGCTGTTAGTTTCTTTAAGCTGGGTTTTTCTTTTTGCTTTTAACTAAATGAAATTAATCCTTGCAAACATTCTTCTCAGTGGTAAGAGCTACCAAAGGGACACCACCGATATAATTCAAAAAAACAATGGAAGAAACGTTCCTATCGGTCACAATCACATCAGTCTGCAAGGCAATGAAATAAGATGGCATCATAAAATAAGCAATAAATATTTCAAAACAAGTGGGAAAAAAAATCAATACTTAAGAAGCATATGGTTTATCTTTACTGGGATCAGGTTTACAGTTACACTTATCAAAAATGAATTATAGTACAACTGAATCACTTTGCTGTACACCGGAAACACTATAAATCAACTATACTTCAATAAAAACAAAAAAATGAATTACAAAGTCAATTTCCAACAGTACAGTATTCTATGTAGGAAAAGAATACAGTGGGATGACAAACCTTGTCAAAAACTGTCATATTCAAAAGGCAGAAGTAAAATAGGAACTTTTTATTCAAATCAAACCAATTTAGGCAATGTGGATCCACAACTTAAAAGTAAGTAATATTCCCGTCCCTGCCCAAAAATTACAGAAAGGTCTACAATGAGAAGGAGGCCTCCCTCCTGACCCTTAGTCTCCCAGCTCCCTTTCCAGCAAGAATGGATCCACTTCCTGTATTTTTTGAGAAATAATAGTATGCATTACTATCAAGTCTTCCCTTTTCATTGCACTGTTCTATACCTTGTTTCACTCCCCTGACAACATTTTTCATCGGCTTCATAATATTCCTTTCATGTGGATGTCCAAAGTTCATTTAAATGGTTACAAAAGATGAATGAATATTCTTGAGTATCCTCTTTATGTACTTACACATAGGATAAATTCCTGTGACTCAATGTGCTAGATCAAATATTTGCATTTAATTTTGGCAAATATTACCCAATGCCTACAAAAATGTTTAACTAACTTACACTTCCTCCTAAAATGGAGATGAATGCCTGTCTTCTCTCCACACTCTCACAATTTAGTATATTTCACATTCACCAATCATGTTTTTAAAATTTTAGCATTTTCCTTCATTTTTCTGCTAGGCTTGCATTTCTTTACAGAATATGGAAACTGCCCTTTCTCATTGCTGCAATTATTTTCTGCTCTGTTATTAGACTTATGCTTTTGTGGTATTTTGGCCATACTCTGACATATAGAAGGTTAATTTTATATAGGCAAATATATCCATCACGTATCACATTGACAAGTACTTCTCCACTCCAAGAATATCAAAGTGCTCACAGTTGTACCGTAATCGGCTCAGGGTTCATCTGAAGAGTGAGAAAGAGATTCAACTTATTTTTCTAGAGGGCCACTAGTTTTCCCAAGCCTATTTACAAAGTGACTCCTCTTTTCTGCATTGATCTGAAAAGCTACGTTTATTATATATTTATTCCCTTTTATATTAAAGTCTACTTTTAGACTATTCTATTTGGAATTGAATTCTGATACCAATACCAAGCTATTCTAATCTGTAGTTTTACAATGTGTTTTCTTAACTGGTAAAGTCAAATAATCCCCTTCCTGTTTTTCTTCCACATTCGTCACAATTTTCTTGGCTAGTCTCAGTACCGTATTTCTAAATGAATTAGAACCAACATCTTCATTGTTTCAATGTGATAATGACATAATTTCCAGCTAGACAGGTCTTTCATAGCTTTTATATATAGTTCTCTATAGAGCTTTTGCTTTCTATCTCTTTTTTTACACCCTACCACCAAAGCTGAATTATCTAGTCGTTTGTAATATTTAAAAACTGAGACTCTTGCACTTTCCAAGTATGTAACTCTAACTGTAAATAAAATAGTGTAACTTAGTCTTGTCTAATTCACTGGCTAACAGCACCAGCAGCATGTTAAATAACAGTGGTTGAAGGAGACGGGCTCCCCAGACTTCTGGAAATGCCAATGTAACACTAGCTTGTGGCTTGAGAGCTGTGTGTCTTACTGCACGAGGATGAAACATATGGTCCCTACCTCAAGGAGTTCTCAATAATGGGGAGTCTGTTCAAAGAAGCAAGCGTGGGCACAAGGAAGGGGATGTTTGGTCTTGGGAAAATGAGTACAAAGTCCCCCAAAACTCTAAAGCACAATAAATGAATGGGTATTGCTAACAACTTGGGTGTGGCTGGAACTGAGGGCCTGGGGTTTGGCCAGACACAGCTGGCAAGTCACATTCTCCAAGTACAGGACTGGAACCCTCAGAGCTTAAGTCCCTGTGGAGGAAAATGCACTTTACATACCCAAAAAGTCACTTTCCAACAACCCTGTATTAAACCAGTAAGACAAAATAGGTTAAAATTCATTTTGGTTTATTCACAATTTTATCACAGAAATAGTATAGTCTGATTAGATCGCTGGAAATAATTTGAGAAAACATAGATTTTAAGTCGGAGCTCATAAGTTATCACTCCTGAGCCTCAGTTTCCATCTGAAAAAGAGGAGTGATAGACAGTACCTGCTCTATTCCGACTGATGTTTAAAAGAATTAAATAGGGTGCTGTTATGTTCACTGACATGCCCTAACTCAGGAGGTAGATTTTATAGATGAGGAAACAGGTTGAGAAAGGTTAAGTAATAGCCAGTAAGTGGTAGAGCTAGAATTCTGTCCCAGACAGCCTGACTCCAGGATTTATAATATCAAGCCCCTATTTTTACAATGCCTCTCACAGGTGATGTCATCATTATGAAGTATAAAATTAGTACAAGTTTTCAATACTACTGTATTCGGTATAATCCTAAAATGAACTGAGAGTAAGCCCACAAATTCACTCTCCCTGCTTATGAAAGGTACTGGGGGTAAAGACCAGAAGCAAGCAAGCCCTTCTTGGCTCTTAAGAAGCTTAGGGCCTTTGAAAAGTCTGGATCTTTCAGCTTGTGTCTTCATTCACGCAATAACTCTTTGTCCTTTGACTCCCCCTTTCCTTCGCTCGCAGACTGTGTAAAAGGCTGGAGTTAAGAATGTAGATATTAAAAAGGTGCTTTGTTAAAAAAAAAAACTGCATGGGTGTACCATTATTACACTCTTTTAGGAGTCATGTGCTGACCTGATTTTTATAAATTCACATTTTAAACTACTCCTATATTCCTCTAAGTTACTCCAGGCCTGATTTTAGAAAAGAAACCTCGGTTTTTTTCTGACTACATTTTTCACTAACACTGATGACACGAAACTATTTTTAGCCACTGTGTGCACCTGTGCTTTGGAAATCAGTGTCTGTCAAAATACCTCACTTCTTTTCCCAGTTCATTAAGCTTACCCTTGAATTACACTTGCTTTCACTGATCTAAGGGACTTCATATTATTTTCGTCTTACTTTAAAATTACAATGTGAAAACACCAGAAGATAGCTCATCTCTTCAGAAGAATTCAGGGTAAGATATTTCTGAAATCCCCATTGAAGGTACCCAACTGAATTTCCTCCTCTCTAGCTGATACAGGAAGTCACAATAAGGAAATGGCTTTATTTTCAGGCTGGGAGTGATGAAGAAACATTTTTGACCCTAGAAAGCCTGTACTGATCCCTAACAGGCTTTCAGGGGCAGGGCAGAGAGCCTAGGACTTGCAGGCAAAGCATCTCATTCTAACCCCACGGCATCCTAAGGCTGGAACCATAATCACCCCAGCTTTTTCACGAGGAAAGCTAAGCCCTCATTAGTTTAAGTAACCTGCCTGGAGTTCCTCACTTAACAAGGTCAAGAAGCCCATGAGCTCCCTGGCACGGAAGCCTTCAAACAAGCATCAGACAGGGTTCATGAGCTGCTAGTCCAACAACTTCTGTTGAGTGTTTAGTTCAACCACACCTGCACTAGAATCTCCCAAACAATGTGCTATTGAAATCATTGCAAATGGCACCCAGAGCCTAGAGCAGGGTTTTTCTGACTATCAAAAACAAATATTTTTCTGAAACCATAAGCATTGGTTGATGTGGAGTTAAAGGAAGTCTGCATGGGTCATCAAGCTGGTGAGAAGGCAGGGCACCATGTGCCAAATGCTGGTGTGAGCAAACTCTGGCTGTTCTCCTGGGGGTCGGGGAGGGGACACACTAGAGAGTCCTCAGTCTCATTTGAGGACTTTAAACGAGCTATTAGGAGCCATCAGTTCCACACCTAGGTATACACACAACAGAAATGCACACCTATGTTCACCAAGACACGTTTCAGAATGTTCACAGCAGCACTATTCATAGCAGTCAAAGCCAGAACTACCCACAAGCCTTGGTGCCAGTAGAACGGGTAAGTGGTGGGCTGGTCACACAAGGGAACAACATATCGGATGAGCCGTCTCTAACCACATGCAACAATGTGGGTCACTCTCAAACGTACTGTTGAAAAGAGGCTCGACACAAAAGAATATACACCGTTTAACTTCAAGTATAGAAAGTTAAAAAAATTAGCAAAAATCTATGGTATTAAAAGTCAAGATAGCAGTTACCTTTGCAGGGGACAGTGACCAGAAGGGAGCAGTAGGAAGGTTTTGGGGGTGCTGGCAATGTTCTGTGTCTTGATCTGGGTGCTTGTTACATACTGGCATTCAGCTTTGGAAAATTCAACAAGCTATAAATCTATAATATATATACTTTCCTGCTTGTATACTGTAACTCAACAGAAAGTTAAAAATAAAGCTCTGAGCTCATGGGCAACCTTAGCTACAGACCACGGCAGAACTATCTAGTGTGGACAGGACTGCACGGGAAGGATTCTAAAGCTGTACACACCAAAACTTGGCAAAGTTCTAAATCCAAACTGTGAAGCTACTTCTATGCTCAGCCCACAGACCAAGTTCATTCCCCTGCCTGTTGTGTCTACATGTCTCTCCTCCCCAACACACTCAAATCAATCTGCTACGGTTGCTGTCACCAGGCTACATGTGATACCACGAGCTGAGGCTTGGCAAATACAAGCCCTGGGCCCAATCACAGTCCTGGTCAGTGCCAATTCTTATTATTCTTGGAAACAAATCAGAGAAATTGAGAGTTCTTATCTCCCCATTTCAAGTCTGGATGCCTTTAACAGGACAAAAAGTAGGATAATAATGCAGCCATTACCTTTCAACTTCAATTACAAATTAAAATTAGAATATTACCATCCAAGGAGAGAAGACAGCAATGGCAGGAATTATTATCGGGTAATAAATAAAAATCGGCACTATTTTTAATAGATTATTTACTGGGCACTTTACAAACATTTTTCTATGTGTTTTATAAGGTAGAGGTGTGAAGTAGATAACATTCTTTCTCCATTTGAAGATACTTGTTTTTGTATTTCTGAAATTAGGATGTGTCTCAACGTATTCATTTAACATAATATATAACTTTCTTCCTCTTCCAAAAAACTGTATTAAATTGATGGAGCACCTTATAATCAATGGAGTTGGAATAGAGTTAACTCTTAGAACAGAGTTAATATGTTATTATATTACCAGCATTTTTAGGTGAAGAAACTGAGGCTCAGAGAGGAAAAATAGCTTGTCTGGGGGCTGAGCCAGGCCTGGAGACCATGACTCAACTACTTGAAATCCCATGGTCTTCCTACTCTAACAGAAAAGGAAAATTTGCTATGGCTGGTTTGAAAGCAATCAAAAATGTTTCGTTCAACATTTTATTAAAAGAGAAACAGACTCACAGACATAGAAAACAAACTTACGGCTACCAGGGGGGAAAGGGGGTGGGGAGGGATAAAATGGGAGTTTGAGATTTGCAGATACTAACTACTATATATAAAATAGATTAACAACAAGGTTCTATTGTATAGTCAGTATCTTGTAATAACCTATAATGAAAGAGTATATGAAAAGGAATATATATATATATATATATATAATAAACTGAATCACCATGCTATATACCAGAAACTAACACAAGATTGTAAATCTCTATACTTTCATTCTTTAAAAACAAATTTTAAGTAAAAAAAGTTTTGTTAAACACTAAACTATGTGTTTTGGTAGATATTATGCGAAAAAAGTTAAACAAGAGAGCTCAGAACAGTCTTGAACTCACCAAAACAGAAACTAGAAACGGCAGTTGTCTATCAACTGAGGTAACATTTAATCTCCATGATTGTGGAGGCTGAATGGTT